GGCCACAAACCCTCTAATTCAAGGCCGTAGCCACCACTTGGCCAGTTTCTAAAAAAGGGGGTCCTGTTTTTTTAATTCACTTGTGTGATAAATACACAGGTTGAAGTAACAGAGATCAAAGTTGCAGAATTATCTGGAGAAGAAGTAGATAACAAGAGACGTCTGGAGCTACTGAAGAAAGAAGAGGAGATGATTGCTGCAGAAAAAGAAGAAGTGAGACGAAAAGAAGAAGAAGAAGAAATGGAGAAACAAAAGAGGGTAAATGCACTACATTTCAACATCCAAGTTTCTTTTTTCCCCAGTTTTTATTTTTCTGGTTTCTGTCATTTTCAAAAGCATTTTTCTTGTTTTCATTTTTTAATTCTTTTGTAGGCTTTGGCAGAAGCTGCAGAAATTTTAGTGGTAAGGAATAAATTGTTTTCACATGACATCACTGGCCATATTGGTGTACCTTTGACAATAACTTTGCCATTAGTTTCTTTTGTTAGGTACACCAATATGGCTGCCGTCTCTATTGTCAGACATGACGTCACAGTCGCCATATTGGTGTACCTTTGACAATAACTTTGTCATTAGTTTATTTTGTTAGGTACACCAGTATGGCTGCTATCTTATGTAATGAGATTCATTTAGCATTCACATGACATCACAGCTGCCATATTAGCATGTACCTTTGACAATGACTTTGTAGCTAGTTTCTTTTCTTAGGTACACTATTATGGCTGCTATCTCTTGCAATGAAATTCATTCAGCAATTTGTAAACCTAAGTGGTTTTTTTTTTGCGTGTATTTTTTAGGATCATGCTGAAATCATCCAACAAGAAGAGATCTCAAAGAAGGATTGGCTGACTCTGAAAAGAGGCATAGGAAATGTACGAGGAGTGTTGACTAAAATCAAAGAAGACAGAGAAGAATATAGAGGGGTTAGTAGCACTGTTTATGATTGTCGTTTCCCCCACCATTACGCCACCCATTCTTCCTCGATTGATTATCAGATTATTATATTATCTCATTGATGTCCAGGAATTGAAGGAACTTGAAATTGAAGATGAAGATAATGCATTATCCGAGTCACTAGGGTCAACACGCCTAGGGAAGAAGGTGGATAATATGATATCCAATATTGAAAAGAAGTTACAGAAACTGGAAGCGGAGTTGATTGAAAACCCTGAAGCTTTGAGGATAGATACTGATGGGTAAGCAAGATGGTCTTAGGAATCCTAATACCCCCCACCCTTCTTCTCTTGTCCTTCTACCCAACCTTTTATCGGTATCTTTATCCCTTCCTATGTTTCTCCAACCACAGTCTGCACTCCTTAATCCCTCCATTTTTCTGCTATTCTTCCCCTTTCTCCATCCTTTCATCCTTCTTTTCCTCTGTCAACCTTTCCTTCCTCCATTCCTCCTTTTACTCCTCCCTCCTCTTCTTTCATCCTTTCCCTTCCCTCTCTCCATCCTTTTTACCACCATCCTTTCCTCCTTCCTTCCCTCTGGCAACCCTCCCTTAAAAAAAAAACAAATAAATAAATAAACATTATTTAATTGTCTAGTCGTTCTAGCACTTTTGCACTAATTGGGGACACTTTTCACTCACATGCAATACCACTACATTCAATGTTCTATGCACACAAAGCTCAACTCACATATTCCTCCATTCCTCCTTTCATCCCTCCCTCCATTTCTTTCATCCATCTCCTTCCCTCTCACCCTCCTTTTGAAAGTTAATTTAATAAACCTTTTTATTTCCAGTGATGGTAAGATTACTACTGAGGAATTAATAGGCACAATCCAAAAACTACAGCATGCACCCAGCGAAGCAAAGGTCAGGAAAATTGCTGATATGTTGGATCAGGATAAAGATGGTGCTCTTGACCTAGACGATGTGGAAACGGTGAGTGAATGGGTTAAGTCTATCGGGCTTCCTGATATAAAGACTATCTATCTCCTTCTTCAAATCCGTTAAAAACCTTTAAATTTTATTGATACCCTGAAACAGCCTCTGGGCTGATCAAAGTCTGGGCGCGGCTAATTGGGGCTGGATTTAGCATGTTGGATTTTGCGGAGGGTTAAAAAAAGAGAATCCAGGAATCAAAACAGAGACCCCAGAGGTGAGAGGCGAGTGTACTATTGCTATATGCCCCCTGAATTTCCAACGTTGAAAAAGAGGAACGAATGGACAAACGAACGAACGAACGAATGAATGAACGAACGAAGGAAAAAGGAAGGAAGGAAAAAAAGAAAGGAAGGAAGGAAAAAGGAAAGGAAAAAGGAAAGGAAATTAGGAAAGAACGAACGAAGGCGGACGAAGGAAGGAAAGGAAATTAGTAAAGAACGAATGAACGAAGGAAGGAAGGAAGGAAAAAAGGAAAGGAATTAGTAAAGAACGAACGAAGGGACGAACGAACGAAGGAATGAACAAACGAAGGAAGATAAATAAAGAAAGGAAGGAAGGAAGAAAAAAGGTAGGAAAAAGGGAAGGAAATTAGGAAAGGAAAGAAAAAAATGTAACCAGCTTTAATTAATTGCATTATATTTACAAGGTTATTGAACTACTGTGTATCGAAGATGTGGACCTAACTTCAGATCAAGTGGCAGAAATCGTATCTCTCATTATACGAGAAAATGATGCCCGAGAGGAGGCCAAGCTGATTGCCAAGAATAGCTCTCTACAGGATGTTGATGTTAAGGCCTCACAGGAATCATGAAGCTGAGATCAATGAAAACCTGTCTCGCCCCACGTAAGTTAAAAATCTAAGCTATCATAGAGGATTCGTAATTTGGAATTCGTATGACAAATCTTCGTATATTTGCGAGACAATTTTCGAGGAGTTCGAACTGATTCCGTCTTGCAAAACTTTATACCATTCGAAATAATTCAGGAATTCCGTACCCTGTGTTATGAAGTTTCTGACCAGGAGTCCTCCGTATAATCCGGGTTCCTTTGGTATCTGGAGTTGGGATTTCTGATTACGCTTCCGTACTGAATCACGGCTAATACTCTAGTTTCGAGTTCCAAATTACCGCTGTGTTCCTTGATTACAGGCTCATTTGCTCAGGTGCCTCGACTTTGTGCAGAATATTTATTTATATTCTAAAGAAGGTCCGTGGAATTTCAAAGTGTTCGTATTGTTGAAGTTGTGCATTCTTTACTTTACCGTTGRTATTTGTGAATATTTAGACACTGATACGAGGCTAACCCTGTGTAACTGAGTCTGTAATCAAGGAGAACGCAGCGGTAATTTGGAACTCGAACCTGAAGTATACCGACATACCTTACATGAAGCGAGTGTGAATATTTGAGCATCTATGTGATTATTTTTCGGTTTTATTAAATCTAATATACCTAAAGATTACTATAAAATTATTCTAAATGTAATATTGATTTTTAAAGATTCTTATAATAATTTAATTAAATTCCGAGCTCTTTTCTGATGCTTGTCATCCTTACTGTTTTTCAGTTCATTCTGTTTGTTTGTTTTTTTTTTACATCAGAACTAAATTCTAGTGAATATATCAGCGCTGGTCATGTACGATGTTCTTTCGTACAGACACTTCACGTACATCGTTTTACGTTTCCTATATTGTGGTCGCTTGATCAATTCAAAACTAAATTCTGGTGAATATGCCAGCGCTGATCATGTACGATGTTCTTTCATACAGACACTTTACTTACATCGTTTTACGTTTTCTATATTGTGGTCTCTTGATTACATCAGAACTAAATTCTGGTGAATATACCAACGCTGATCATGTACGATGTTCTTTCGTACAAACACTTCACGTACATCGTTTTACGTTTTCTATATTGTGGTCTCTCGATTACATCAGAACTAATCCCAGGCATTTCCAGTGCCCTCCATGGCTAAGGTTTTAAACGATTTTCCAATGATTACCTCACATGAAGACCACTTGGAAGTTCTCTGTTCGAGTTTTGTGCATGCATCTTTATTTAAGAATTTATTATACTTTATGCCAAGCATTTTCTATGTGGTTTTTTGCGTTTTGCCCAGGAACCACCAAACTCAAAGGCGCACCATTTCTTGTCGTATCATCGTTCTTGTCTAGTCTGGAATTTTGCCTTGTAGGGGGGGAAAGACTCTCAGGGGAAGTCGTCCTCGATGCCTGTTGCCCTATCTCTATTACATGCCCCGAATATAACCTGTTCACGCGCGCAGGACCTAACGAAGAAGAAGTATTATTCATCGCTCTCGTCTGCGTAAAATCCTTGTTATTGGAATTCCCACTAAGATCACCGTGTATACTAACTTCGCCTTCCTGAGCGCAGAGAATAACTTTGACCTTAGGACCAAAAACACCGATCAACGTGATAGTACCATTGATGAAGTACGTCCCGGTTGTGATATAAACTTTAACATATGTATCATCTGTGTTGAGACGACTCGGTAGGAATGTGATCCAAATTGAACACGTTAGGTACATCATTATACCGATGTATTTAGCTTCATTGAAGTTCCTTGGGAACCCTCTGGTCTTGAACGCGAAGAGCGTACACAGGAGGATTAGAATTAGATTATACGACAAATTGAATACAAGTGTCAGATTATTTGTCTGACACTCAAGGACTGTTTCTTCCAGGGAGAGATAGTTGTACTTTATCTGAGGCGGTGAGGATAGGATCCATAAGCTTGTGATGAGGAACTGTATTGATATGAGCCCTGAGGTTACTAGCACTTGAGATTTAGGGCTGACCATTGAAGGTCTGGCGACAGTTTTCTTGGCTAAGGTAAAGATACGATAGATTCTAATAGTTTTCATGAGTAGCGGTGCGTAGCAGAACGTGTAGCATACCGACCCAAAGTACCTACTTAGACTACATGTTACTGGTGATGGCTTCGTGAAGGCAGGGAAAACAGCAACATAGCAAAGCAAGATTCCAAGAGTGATTAGAAAACTAAGTTCTCTCCCTGATGCCTTGATGACAGGGTGGTTCAAATGCTTCAAGTAAAAGATTCCTGTCAGACAAGTCCCTACAATACCAAGAGCTGTCAATACCACAATGAAAATAGCAAGGGCCGCTCTGAAGTCAGGGTGAACTTGGGGGATCATCCCACACGAGGTGAAATTGGCCTGTGGGCGGTACCCCTGGGGACATGATTGACAGCTGTCATTTAGAATAATTTGATTCGCATGGCAGCTGATACAGTCCCAGCAGCATCTTGGATGGGAAGCATGAGGTTGTCTTATTTTAGGATAGACACAGGGTTTACTGCAGATAGAAACTGGTGGGCTCGATACGGCGTTACCCCAAGAAATCTTGTCCTCATCAATCCTGAAATTCTTCGCCACAAGGCTATTATTCTTCATCACCATTCCCCACTCGCCCACATTCACATAGTCCCAGTCCCCCGACGTCTTCTGCTGGAAGTTCATGATGGTGTAGTTGCCATCCATCTCCTGGTCGTCGTTAAAAGTCAACATCAAATCCGACGAAATATCCGGAAACGACGCATTTCTCAGATACCCCACGAGTTGTTCCTTGCTCAGTGCACTCTTCAGTTCTTCACACAGTCCTTCTCCGAGACACAAAGCTGTTTGCATATCCTGAAGCGCATGCGCGAATGCATAAACCGCATTAATGACTACACGCACCGGCGACAGCTCCATATTTGGGATCCAGCAGCTGACATTCCCATTCGGTTCCTTCACATCTGAATTATTGCATTTAAGAAACTGTTTAAAAAACTCCCTGCCCCAAGGATTCTGCATGTGAAGCGACACGTTGGTGTAATATCTCTCGAAGCTTTCTACATACCCATCTAGATGATTGACGGTGATGGAGCCGTTAGCAATGCCTTCTCTACCGTCAATAACATCCATACGATTACTCCATCCACTGCTCCCAATCCACGAGAAACGATCAGCCCCCAGAGCTGAGGCAGCCTTCAGAAGCCCCGTGGAATCAGACTGCGTCGTAAATAGTACAATAACATTGGTATGTTCGTGTTTTTGTCGTTTGATATCGTTCACGATGTCTTCATAATGGCTTGTCGTTGGTAGATAAGGTAACGTGCGAGACGTGGCTACACAAATACCATTTTTTTCAGCTGTAACCTTCAGTTCTTCCATACCTCTCTCTCCATAATTCCCCTTTGAATTAACGGTTGATATGTAATTCCATCCAAAATGCCTCAGAATATCCACGATGGCTTTAGCCTGGAAGTGATCTGAAGGAACCGTTCGGAAAAAGTTCCCATAGACTTGTTTATTACTCAGGGTGGCGCTAGTGGACCCATAACTAACCTGAGGGATACCAAACACCCTTAGCAACGGCGCAGTTGCTATGGACACGTCGCTTGAAAAGGGCCCAACCACGCCCACCAGGGGAGCGGCATCACCTTCCTTAAGAGTGTACTTTATGAAATCCTTAGCCCGATCTGCCCCGATCGTGCTACTTTCACACGTGTCGTAAATCGTCGTTCCAAGCGAGATATTCCGAAGTAGTGACGAGTCGTTATTGATTTTATCCAGAGCGAATAGCATGGCGATCATGTATTGATACCCTGGTTGAAGTGCAAACACCCCGCACGCGCTCTCTGTCGTCTTGCTTTTCTTGTGGACTGGAAATAATCCTCCAAGGACGAGGTCACCACTCTTTGTCAATACTTGAGTCGCCTTCTTTCCTAAAGAAAAAGATTACGTTTGTTTATTTATATATTCTTACAAAAAAATCAATTTTTTCCCATTATTTGTTGTTTTCGTGCGGTAAACGAAAATATTTGTTACATTACAGAAAAAACTGTGTGATTACTCATAAACTTCGCGCAAAAAATGGCCGTATTTCTTCCTCGAAAAACATTTTCCTGCCCAAATACAGTTTTTTTCGTTTGCCAAAGAACTGCCATAATCCTGCCACAATAAATGTCAAAAAAGACGACATTTCGTGTGATAAGTTGATTCCTTCTCTCACGTTGTTTGGTTAAGGAAGACGAAAATGTTCTCATTGGCTTAGCTGATTCTTTACATTTTTAACAGAAAATCTGTTTGTTGGACATCACATTTACTGTTTGAGAAGGACGCGTTACGTACCACGAGTCTACCTGAATGGTTTATGAAGTGTAACAGTTTCTAGTGGCTACAGCCTACCTGAATGGATTCAATAGAGTGATTGTAAAAAGAAGTCAATGGGAATAAGATCAAATAGCCTTTATTAGACTACTAATTATTTCAGGGTCTGATCAGTAAAGTCACTCTTAAACTGCTTAACAAAATCTAATCATCAAATGGTAGTATAGTCCTAATATAGTGCGAAATGACACAAAAAATTAACAATTATTCACCGAGCCATATGGATTATCGGTGAATATTCACCATAATCACTGAGCCTCGGTGAGTAATTGTTTTAGTATAACTTTAGACTTGAGAATATCAGAGAAAAGTCGAAATCAAGGATAAAACACGTTTTCAGTGGCAAACTTTGGGAAACGTCATAGCAGTGAATATCGTCTTATTACTGGTCGCTTGACCGAACATATATTTAAGCCTAAATTTATTCTCACTAATGGTTAATATTGCACTGCCGATGCGTATTCTTTGTATCGCCATCAACAGATAATAGCGGTAAAGATAGTTATATTTGTTGAAGGACTTTTATTTTATTTTATTTTTTGATTCTCGTCCACACACTGTACTATTTTCGAATCGTCTTCTCGTGTCCACTCACTCGTATCCGTTTTCGAAAAGCGGCGTATTCAAGGCCAATCCGTAAAGAAAAGATTCCGTTTCAAAAATGATTATCCAATACCGTAGAGACGGGGTCTGACTCGAAGCAGACATCAACAAAATATGTTTCGTTAGTTTAGCTTAAAAAAATACAATTATTACAGTTTTAACTCTAACGTGTTTTGTTTTCTACCTCCTTGTCAATAAGTTTTTCATCTATTATTTTTTTCGTAATTCATAAGAGAAAGTTAATTATGTTTAAGATAAACTGATACAGATTGTACCAACCTTCACTGCAGCAAGCGAGCACGAGCAAGAACCGCCAAAAAACTTGTTCTTGTCCTTTAATTTTAGCCATGTTTCTTTGAAGTTAAATCTTCCCCTCGTAGATTATTTTGTTTTCGACTGTGCCAAGATAAATAAACAGGAAAAAAAATCAACGTAAATACGAGGTAAACTGTGTTTAAAGCAAAGCAAGAAAATCGTATTCTACAAATCTTACTGCTAAAATTAATTCACAGATTTTTTTTCATTACTGAATTGCACGTTGGTTTTTCAGCCACTTCAACTATGAAAAGCTGTAGTTGTGTTACTTAATTACTTTATTAATAATATCACCTCTTGGAAATATCAAATTTTGAAAATTCGACCCGGAATTTTTAATCGAATGGAAAGCGCCTATCATCTCTGCTTTGCAGTAACTGCCACGGCCTGCATTTCTTGATGGTAACTATAGTAACTACTCTGTCGTTAAGGAACTCTGAAAACTAAGGTGTTATCATCTTTCGTTTTTAAAATTTTATGCTTGATTTGACACAAAGAAAAAGCGAACGAAATAAAAATCTCTTCTCGAGAGTATTGTGAATGGGAGACTAACATGAAAATACAAAAGAAATATCACATTTTCTCGATGGAATTTATGGTATTTCTTTTGTATTTCCATGTTAAGCCTCGTATTCAAGACAATTTTAAGACAGGTTTGTTAATTGTTAATCCAGAAGATATTTTCTTATAAAAGTCAGAAATATCTCGAAAGCAAGTATGAGAAACGACAAATGTTTGTCTAGGATTATTCATGTTTTTTGATATTGTCATTTATACTGAATTCAGCTGCCTTCAAGTTCATAAATTTCGAATTTCAGCGAACTAAAACAAAGGAAAAATACTGATTGGAACAATCGACTTGTTTACTAGTTAAGCCAAGAAAATTCCTGCAATTTGCATTGACTATTCCAGACGTGATGTAAATATTTGACAGATTTATTTTGTAGATAATATTTTAAGTCCTAGGAATTAAACCAACATCAAACAAATCCACCTTCACCGTCAGGCAAAACGTCACAAAAAAATATCCTAGCATTCTAAAATCCAACGTGATCTCTCTTTTCAGCTGCGCTGTGACATTCGATGATATCATCAATACGCTTTACGTGCACCAGCTAAAGGATTATTTTCACTTGGAAATAATGAACAAGTTTTGTCCGTTTGGCCGTTCATTCCATCCCATCCCATCCATCCATCTATCCATCAATCCATCCATCCCCCCATACATACATCCATGCCATCCATCCATCCATCCATCCCCCCATCCATCCATCCTTCCACTCATACATCCATCCATCCATCCCAACCGTCCATTCCATCCGTCCATCCCATCCATCTATACCATCTATCCATCCATGCAACCCATATCTATTGCTTTGACTAAAAATGAAATGGAAAGAGCGGGCGCGCAAGTTGATGACTCACGGGGTAGGGTAAATAAGGTGAACTTTAATCTGCATCCGGTGGTTACTAAAAATAGCCCAACCGGGAATTTACATGGCGCACGCCACAATACAAGAGTTCTGACGTTAATAGCCGATAATGTTAGATAATTAAAGGTGATTAAACTGCTTTAGGCAAACATCTATTAAAAGAACTCGTTAATATGCGAAAGTCTGTCTACCTACTTTGGGGTAATACTTTCCTTTTTTCCTCTTTTATTCCTTTTTTAATCCTCTCATCCTGAATCTCATAATTCCAGCTTTATTCTTTTCACACATTTCTTCACTTTTCCCATTAATTCGTTTCCCATTCCATTTTCATTTATCTTTCTTTCCCACTTATGTCATAAACTGTTCCCATCCTTTTCCCATTTCGTTATATTTAACTTAACAACTCTCGCCCCTCAACCTATTACCTTATCCACGCTTCGCGTATCCACGAGTTCACGCCCAGAAAAGCAAAACATCTGTCGAAAGGATTCAGTCGGTACGCTTATATAGTAGGTTATATACTAATGCTACATTGGCACGATTCAATGTGAAATGATAATAATAGTTTTTTTGCCGCGTATTTTTTTATGTTTTTGTTTTTGTCTTTTGTTTGTTTGTTGTTTTTTTTTTTAGCTTTTCTCTTTTGATTAAAATTATAGAACTTTACAAAAAAATAATACTTGTCGAACTCAAATCGGAAGTGAAAAAACGCGTAAAGAAACGTAGCTTCTAATATTTTTTTACCAACCGATCAAATTTAATACATGCGCGAAGGATTGATTGGCCTGACAATTTAGTTCTTCAATGACAGGATTTCTCCTGACTTTATTAAAATATGCCGGATAGAATGACGGAAGGTGTTGAATTGCCATCTGATATTTCCATCTGTTGTTGATAAAAGTTTGGTACTGAGAAAAAAGGAATACTAAGAAAATGAATAGAAAAGGAAAGAAAAGAGAAGAGATGAGTAAAGCCTCATTTCTTTCTTTCTCAGTTCCTTCTTCACTTCTCTCTCTCTTTTTTTTTTTCTTTTTTCTTTTTTCTTTTTTTCTTCTTNTTTTTCTTCTTCTTCTTCTTCTTCTTCTTCTTCTTCTTCTTTTTCTTTTTCTTCTTTCCTTTCTTTTTCTTCCTTGATAGTAAAGTTACTAATTCGAATTCCAATTTCGACGCAGCAATCAGATCAATATTTCCCATTCACGACTGACTTCAAACTCAAGAATTCAAAAATAGTCCATTTAAAGTCTTGATGGCGATTTGAAAAACCTTTTAGAACACAGTCAAGTTAAAATAAAAATGAACTCAAAAACAACGAACTATTCTAATGATTTCTGACCGTCTATACTAAACGATTCTTTTATTTTTTTTCCTAAATTGTTAATTACTGCACAAAGGAAAGAAAAAAGTGGCGACTTACCTTAGACTTGAGTTGTTTTTAGCTGGTCGCGACGCGCTTGTAATATATGTTCCGTATTTCAAATGATTGCCAATGATTCTCGCCTTATTTGCCTTTTCCTTGTTATCCTTTTGTATCTCTTGAGCACCAAGAATACTTTTCCAACAAAAATTCCGCTAAGCTAAACTTATTAAATGTCACCAAATTTTAAACTTCCCAACGAAAGACCTGATGAATTTCCTCATTTGCGGTTAGATTTTGGCGTAATTTCCTTTCACGAAGGCGTAACTCATAAAGAAGACAATCTAGATTGTAATGTTTATTTGTACTCCTACATTACTGACAGCGTGTCTTCTCTTCGCTTGTCATCTTAAAGAAATGTTCAAAATAGACTTTTCAGATGTTTAAGGAAATTATTTGAACCCGGACGTCTATTTTCTTTTTCTGTATTTCTTAAAGTAGCTATTAGCTTGCCAAGCAGCGTAGCAGCAGAAATCCAAAGTCGTCGTCTTTGTAGAATTCTCTTTTCCGACTATAGAGTAATGTCTTTTTTTTTTTTTTTTTTGAGTTTTGCCTAGATTAAAATGTAAGATTACAAGTATTCTTTAAGCAGCTGCGTGTATAATTTATTCAACATATTTTCAAATAGTTTAGAAAATTGGATACCAGCCTTCAATAAAAATTAAATAGTTAATATTTAGTCGTCGGCGCGTGGGATATTTTAGAACGAAAGCTCGGAACATTAAATCTATGGTTGATAAGACAAATTATCATGAATGTAACAACAACCAACAAGGAACTATTTGATTTTCGGCTTTGTTCGGGAAAAAGTACGAGCCTACTTGGACTCGAGTTTTTGGCGCCAAAACAAATTAAAGTCAAACTATGAGATGTTTTTGATATTTTTGAAAAGGAGATTTTTTAAAATTTCGCTCTTTTATTGTAGATATAGTATTTCACTTTGATTCCAGCGTAAAAGTCTTTCTCACCGATTCGTAGGATCGAATAATTAACACCGAAATCCAATCTCACTCGAGAGAAAATTGGTTACCAAATTTTAGGAAGTACTTAAATTAAAGGAATAACAATGCTTTCCAAATGTTAATCGTTTTATTTGTGACATGTTGTACGAACGAATTAATCGCGCAGGAAATAAAAGTGGACGGTCTTGCACAGAGAAAAGAAAACAAAGGTGCCGAAAAGAGAACGCAATATAGCGGAATATTAGTTGAAGAGTAAATGACTGGTTTTAAGGATCGATATTTTATTTATAGTTTTTCATCAAGACGAGCAAAAAGTGCAGTTGTTAGAAGCACTTTTTATTACCTAGTTTAGTTTTTTCTAACTAGACTTTTTAAACTGTTAAACTAAACAATTTAGCCAGAAAAAATAAATTGTGGCACCCCTTCAAGTTTTCATACGAAATAGGTGGTTTGTAATTTCTCAAGGAAAGGAAAAACAACGGCCATGTTGGTTGTGATGTAAAAAGAATTAGACCAATGTGAAATTCAAAAACAATCTTGGACGACTATCATAGGTGAATGAAATCACGTCTAGTTTTCATCAAAAGTTTGTTAAAAGCCAAATAAATAATAATTTCCATATACGAAGAGTTCTCCAGCGCAACGTAACCCTGTTCATCTAGTCACCACGGTTTCCCCGCCCTAAAACTTCCAAGAAAATACTCAAAATATATTCTTTTTATTAAAAGCTGACAGATGTAACGAGTTACCCTTATTTGTCCCTGACTATTTACGTTCAGAGAAATACGAGAAGATTGTTAAGAATGACGTGGAAGCAATTAAGATAATGGTTTGATATTTCACTTTGACTTGCAAGCATTATTTTTTTAAATGAGAAAGAAAGAATGGATAGATGTAATGTCAGCGTGGTCGTTGTGCGAATTCAGTTTTAAGAAACATTTCAACTTCAATAACATTCTTCGTAAGAAAAAATTGTCAAAAACATGATTTGCATAGGAAATCCCACGATTCGAGTACGATTCGGAATTTATAGGCACGAGTTATGTTTTAAAAGTTTTTAAAATTAGACTAGTTTAGGCGAGTTCAATTTGAGAACTTTTAAAACATCACGAGTATCTATAAATTCCAAATTGTACGAGAAGATTTTTCGATTTTTCGTTTATAATACACTCAAAAAAATTGAGCAACTTAATTGGGACTCTACAGAGTACAATTTGGAATTTAATTGTACTCCTCTTGTCCAATCAGAAACGAGATATATTGTAGAGTGTATTGTAATAGCTAAAAATATGCATGAAATTTTTATCATAATTTGTTTATCACATGTATGAAAGGGAATTGCGCGCGCAGACACTTTGCGCCTTCACGCGTGTTTGAAGAAGTTTTGTAAATCGGAGGCCGGCTTTTCGCGCACTTTTGTTGTACAGGAAAATATTCTTTTATTAAATTTTCTTTAACTTTTCTGTCGACGGTTTTCTTTTGGGTGTCAACATTATTATTGCTGCATGCGACCTTCACTAGTGCATCGCCCTGTCGAAGTTTCATTATCATAGTCGATGATTGTCTATGGTTTTAGCTAGAAGCACTCGGATGAAAACGCCCCAGTTTTTGAAAGTCCAAATAATTGAAGTATTTGAGGATAATATGACTCAATTATAATTACGAAAATCATATTAGTGAACATTTTAGCCTGGGAGCCACTTGCTATTGAGAAATTCTGGTTTAAAAGTGAAAAGAACAACAGGGTTGAGTAAATGACACCATTTACCCAGAATTCAGATGCTACAATGATAAATAATTTTTTTCGACACGTTTTACTGTGAAGAAAATATGTTGCTTGGCTACTATTTGGGCCATGTTTAACCATGTTTCAAGTCATTTCCAATTTTCATCTATTTTCATCCAAGTGCCCCTTTAA